AGGGTTGTTTTTTATATTGTTTGCGAGGTAAGTGGAAATATGTTTGTGTTTCACTTTCTTTTTGTTTTCAGAAAATATTTTTTGGAAGGATTTGAAAGTAGTCCAATGTTCTGAAGTGTTGTATGTGTACATGCATCTGTAGAGTTGTGTTTTTTTTTTACAGTGTTGTATGTGTAGGTCCCTGGAAAACCAGGGAAGTGTATGTCTGCTTGAATGTGTTTTTCCACAGATGTGAGTATGGTGTGTTTAAGGCTGTTTCTGTTGGAAGTAAAAGGTCTTGTGTGGGAATCTATAAAAGTAGTCCATGCTGTAGTTAGTGATGTATGTCAGCTCTTTTCCTCTGGAAAAGAGCTGACATACTTAAGTGTATTTAATCTATATACTTTATTCAGATATAGATATTTTACTATCTATATCTGCCAGGATATTAGTTTAAATCTTCCTCTTCCTCTATTATATTTTCTCTATTTTTCTCTCTCCATCCCTCTTATCTCTATTATCTGATATGTAGCTATAGAATTGTGTATTTTTCACCAGGCCGTCGGAAGCCACACACACTCTCCCTCGGGCTGCCAGAAGATCCAGAGAGTGAGGGTCTCCCCTTCCTAGCCCTGGAGTGGGACTCACAGTTCCCTTCCACACCAGCTCAAGAAAATGGTCAATCGCCAGATAACAATAACTTCCTGAAGGGGAAAGATGATGGGGAAGACGAGAAAGAGGATCGACTTGGAAGTGAAAATTTCAATGGGCAGAGTGCAAGTCATCATGGGTGTTATTCCTTGGAAAACGACAAAGAAGCAGGTAAGTTAACCCACTCACAACGGGTTCTTTGGAGTGCCATATGGGTAACAAATATAGCAGTATGTCGGCGCGGCCGGGGATCCCCGCACGCGCCACTCACCACATGCGACCAAATCAGAGTATTAGCTCCGGTTTTACGCCCCATTTTATTGTCTTGAGATTATATTGAAGTTTATGCTTTGGAGAACCAAACAGAATGTTTTGCGTGCTTGTTAAGCTAAAATACTATCTCAACACTTTTTGTAATGGTTGGAGTTTTAGTATAGAGTCCAAACCCTCATATAAGGAATGCCATGGGTGTTACTCCCAGTGACATATTTGCCAACATATCGTGAAGGGAAATCAGAGATTTTATTAAAACAAAATTTTTATGTTTTTGGTTCGCTGCTTTTTACAAGGCAGCATGCCATTCTTCAAAGCACTTATAAGTGCATAAACAGACATTGCAGTCAGAGCAGTAGCTTTTGCTGCTTCGTCGGAGTCCTCGGCTCGAACAAATTCTGCAGCGTCTCCTCCTTCCTTCCGGAATCTCAGACACTACATGACGGCGATCACAAAGTGCATGGCTCTCTGTCAGAGATGTCCTCGGCAAAGCCCTGTTCCTTGTGGAGTTAGCCCCTTCCCTGAACTGCCCTTAGAGTTCAGAGGCGAGACCAACTTGGAAGGTCTTCTGAGTTTCCTCCGATCCCAGGGCACGGTGGACAGCCCAAGCATTGACAATAGCCATGTCATAAAGGAAAAAGAAGACCTTCCTGTACCAGGCCTTGGAACGGCGAGTCGTTGGATAATAACTGGCCATTTGATCACCAATGTCGACACCTTTCATGCCGACGTTGTAATCTTTTACTACCAACGGCTTGTCCCCATCCATTGCAGCGGTGTGGACTGTTGGCAGCATGGTGACATTGCTGCGGTCCTTCCACATCAAGGCCAGCATGCCCGTCTTGCTGCTGCGGTAATTGATATTGCCCCTCCTCACTACAAGGTCCTTGGGCATGAACTTCCTGTTCAGCCGGGCTGTGCCTGCCACATTAGTCCTGTGTGACTGCAGCACATGAAAAAGTGTTGGTGACATATACCAATTATCCACAAATAATTGATATCCTTTACCAAGGAAGCCGCCAAACTTCATCAAGTGCAGCACTGCTTTCATGGACGAGGGTATGTTGCCACGGTCCTTCCCGGTGTACACCTCAAAGCAAGAGGTGTACCCTGCAGCCGGGCCAGTACTGGCACAAAGCTTGTAGACCTTTAACCCGAACCTCACCCTCTTGGTTGGGTTATAGGTCTTGAAGCCTAGCCGCCCACGGAACTTCCACAAAGACTCATCTATGGCAATGTCCTGCCCCGGTACGAAGACCGATCGGAATGAGTCATTCAGGGAGTCCATGACTGGTCGGAGCTTCCACATCCTGTCCTCTGGGAGGGGAGCTCCTTCCTCCAAGTGGGCAAAATGGAGGTGTGTCGTCAACTGGTCAAACCGATCTCTTGTCATGACCTCGGCAACGAGTTTGTGATACAGGACACGGTTGGTCGACCAGAAGTCGCGATAATTGGCTGGTTTCCACAAGCCCATTATCACTCGGATACCAAGGTATGCCAGGACCTCCTGCCTGGACGCGGGCATCCACTTCCTCATGTGAAGGGAGGCGGCAGGAGGGTGGGTGACCGCATACCTGTGGGAGTGGAAAAGAAAAACATGTAAGTAATACATTCTGACTGTTCAATGCAAGAGGTATTTACTCAATGTGAATAAAAGTGGAAAGAACACAAACACTTCCTCGTGTGAGGGAAGGTGGGCGACTACATACCTGTGGGAGTGGAAAAGAAATACAAGTAAGTAATACATTCTGACTGCTCAATGCAAGAGATATTTACTCAGCATGGATAAAAATGCAAAAAATACAAAAGCAATAACGAAACTTATCAGTTGGTCTCCTGAACAATATGATCAAGTAGGTCCTCCGTGAATAGTGTCGAAAGTATTTCCAACGGCGTGTTGGAAATAGCCAGCATCGCCTTAACACCGGGATCGCCTCTGAAGCCATATCGGGTGGGAACGTTATCCTTCTTGCACCAAGCAAAGTTCTTTGTGCCTGGAGCATTGGCAGACTTCAGTTTCTCTATGCACATTGACAGAGGTTTGTTGCTCTCCAATGCTGTGTCTACCTGTGACACATAGTCTAGCTCGTCGTCAGATGAGCTGGCATCAAAAAGAGGATCATGGTCACTCTTTTTCCTACCTGGAAGCCACTCAACCCCACTCTCAGAGGAATAGTCAAATAAAGGCGATGACCGGGGAGATTGGGGTGGGGATCGGTGCAAAATACGTCACCGAGGCACCTTCGGAGGAGGTGCTGCAGAGGTAGATGGCTGAGGTTCATCAACCTCAGAGGAAGAGGAAGATCGACGACTAATTGTTGGTCTTGACATTGTGAGAGCGAGTAAAGAATAAGGTGCAAAAACCTGTATATATATACATGGGAAAATTCCTGCGCTTCAACCTGGCGGGAAACGTGGAAGTCAGGTCAAAGCAGCATGGGTTACATGTCACATAATGTGACCAATCATATCATTGCCTGTGTACTGACATCTCTTCCATATGTGACACCTACTTCTGCCTACCTGCCTGTCTATCTATCTATCTCTGTTTCCCTTCCTCTCTCCCAAGTTGCACCTTTATTTTTTGTTTTCATTATTATTTTCTGTCTGTATGTTTCTCTTTCTCTCCCCTCATAACTCATACTCCCTCCATCCTTATACAACTTCAAAGTCAAGGTAAATTGAAATAGTAACTTCACATCCTTACTTGACCTCATGACATAAATAGATCTTATGTAAAAGAAAAATAATAATAATAGTATTAGACATCATCTTGGAAAAATCCATGTACACATAACAGACGTCCCCAAGGTCCATTACATTAGGTCTCATGGGTAAGACACCCGGCATATGGCTGGGAAGAACGGTGTGACATATATGAGACACCTGGCAATGAGCCATTTTCTGAGTGTCACATCAGTGTGACACCCGGCATGAATGGGTTAAGCTTGATAGCTGTGACTAACACTATTTACTCGAATTGTATCCTGACAGCCTGTAAAGATTTTTAAAAATTCCATGGGCATGTACATATAACCATAAATAAGATTTTATCCTGTATGGACAGATTTGTTAATTCCATTGTTCAAGGCATAAGAGAACTGTTAACAGGTCATGTCAATTATCTAAAATTAAATAGCTAGACAGGAAAAGCCTTCTTTTTTTTCTTTTTCTTTTTCTTTTTTTTTTCTTTCTTATACAGTGACAGTTTGTTCTTTCTGTCAGTATATATGTCTATCTTAGATTAGATAATAGCAAAAGAAAAGAAAATTTGTTTGCAAGTTCAGGAGAATTAACCTTTTTTGATATACAGATCTAAAATTTAAGATTTTATGTTAGTACACTCTACATCATTTGTTAGTTTGTTTGTTTGTTTTTTGTACTATCTTAGATATCTGCATTATTGATTTATATGTTCTTGATTGTCTATTAGTTAAGCTGTAGTATTCATAAAAAAGACTGCTCACTTACATTAAACAAAAAGATTTGATGGATTGTCCATTACCCCTTTGTTAGTTTCATGCCACTTACCATGTGAGATGATTTTTTTCTTTCTTTCTTTCCATCTGTCTTTCTTCTTTCAATGGTAATTCCCTTTTCCAGTAAACAAATCCAAAATACACTAAAGTCACCTGAGTAAATTGTTTTTTTTTCTTTTTAGGTGTTTCTGGCTTCACCAGAGGGAGTAATGGGGAAGAAAGTAATACCAAAGATCAGAGTAAAAAGGAAGACAAGAAATTGGAAGAAGCAGGGGACAACAGTGGTGGAGGGAGTCAAGAAGGCTACAGCGGCGAGGGAGGAGGAGGAGGTGATGGTGGGGGAGGTGGAGAAGGGGGAGGGGATGGCGGAGGGAACGACGACAAGAATGGGAAAGAAGCAAAGGAAGAGGACGAGGAGAGCAGCCATGAGCCATCCAGTGACTCAAGTGAGGGGTAAGTTCTGCCTTCTTTCTGTTAACCCCTAAAACTGCAAATCTTCAGCTTGTCCGACCCTAGCCACATATCAACTGGAATTTTAAATTTTTACCAATGACAGACTTGGTCTTTATCATATGGAGACCTTGATTTTACACACCCAGAGAATGCATGTCGTGTTCGTATGTCTCTTAGTTACTGAACTGTTGACATCTAGGTTGAAAATGTTACTCTCTTTCGTATGAAAGAAATCATGTATCCATATATGTAAAAGCCACACCAGGAAGCATGAAATGATCAAGTGTTAAATGTTACCTGTAGTGTATGAAAGAAAATGAGGAACAAAAACATGTAATTATAATGTATATACATATACATATAATGAAATACATATTTGTTATAATTTTTTAAGTAATAAATCATTTATGTTTATCATATATTTATATATCTATTAGCCCATTGGATTATGGGTGCCTCACTGTCCGCACATGGTCCAAAATCTGGGCAATAAGCATAGTTGAATTGGAAACATTACTGGGAGTGAGGCTTGTAGGCCTTGCCCACAAGAACACACATGACAGTGTATACCCATTACCTCAGCCAGATATTTTTGTGACATGACTGGAACTTCACCTAGGCCTCAGTCTAATTTTTTCATGGCATGATGGTCACATTACCTGGATCCAAAGGGTTAAATACATAGTGAAAAACAAGATTATATCTTTGATAAATCAGCCATGCCAGAGAGTGGGAAGGGAGAAGGGGGTGTCCTAGAGGTAGTGATAAGGATGGGATGTGGAATGTAAGGATTATAGTGAATGAAGGATTTCATGGGAGTTCAAACAATCTAGACATATAGAAGGTCCAGAGGATATAGTTCCATCAGCCTTTATGTTGGTTCAATTTGATTCGGTTGTTTATTAAATGATTTCACTTGAGTAAATTTTAATTGGAATTTATAGAAACAATTGTCTGGTTGAGTTTCATATTAACAAACATACATACATACTGTCTTACTTCCAAAACACCACCACTCAAAAGAAATGATAATTAAGAAAATCAAGCAAATAACTGTAGTGAACTATGGTCACCATCATGTTTGCTCTAACCCTGAAGACATGAAATTTTGGGGGGCATGTTGAGCAGATAGGGGAGGAGCTAATGTTCATGTAGAATCCTCATGTATATGTTGTCGTCTCATCATGATGAGATTTTCATGGTATTAAACCAATATTTATTGCATGTGGGATTGGAAGAATTGTTGTATGAATATTAGGCTCTGGTGTTCAGAAAAAAATGTATTGATGAAGAAAAATGGGAAATTCTTTATTGGAGGTATGAATTTTTAAAAAGTTTATTTGTAGTTTTAAATTTCAGATCTAGAGAGCCTGGGATTCCCTTTTTCTTCTCTTTATAAGAGAGTGATTTTACCACATCATTGAATAACATGAATTTGTGTTGCACCCTTACATAGGAAGAAGTTATTTGCATTTGATACTGCCAGTGAAGATGAACAGAAGGAGACCATGACTTGAAATTTATATTGATACTCTCAATCTTATATGGCATGTCAACTGTGTTGCTCCCCTATTGCATTGTTGTCCTTATTTTGTTGGTAGATGCCCTCACAGCTGATATTCTTGGCAGGCAGAATTGTATGTACGAAGGAGAGGTCCTTGGCAATCTCTAATCCCCATGCTGTACTTGATGCATTGTCTGATTGTGCTCTCCATTGTGACCAGCTTGTGGGTGTAGACAGGTGAAAGTACTAGTTGGTATCAGGCCTCTCGGGTATCTCATCTGTGAACCAGTACATTTGTTGATAAGTTACAGTATGCACATCCTTCCGTAGCTGTAGAGGCAAATAGGTATGTAACTCTGCCTCATTGGCCATGATTCCTTTCTGAATGTGTAAAAGATGGAAGGGACTGCAAATTGGCATACCTGAAAAGATGGAAAAATACACTTGAATTGCAGAAGACTTACATAATCAAAGAGGAAAATCTATGCTGGCCTGAACAGAGAAAGTAGAATTATCCAGACAAATAAAGTTTGTGCAACCAAGAGAAACTGTGAAAGTAACATGTTCCATGTCTCTTCTTGAAGAAATGTTTACATGTTTAATGTTTATACCCACAACATTTCCTCAAATTGCACTTTTCACATAATTGTAACCTCAAAATATGATTATATATATTTGGACGTGTGAAGTGATACGAGAAGTGACAGAGAAGAGAAATAAAGAAGCCAGGACACACTATTGTGTCATGGGGAGGGTGCTAATTATTTCACGATTCATTATCTTTGCACTCTTTCTGCATGATATAAAAATTATGTAGAACTGTATAACGTTTTTCCTGTTATCCTGTAGGATGTGTTAATTTTATGAATGTTTAGAAGACGATCAAACTGAAATCGCCATGATCATTAAGAAAATGATAATAAGTGAGGTAGTTTCTTTTCTTTGGTCATTGCTGTTTGCTTAATACCCTTACATTAAGGTAGGTTGGGGTTTATGGCGGTGTATATATCAGGAGAGAGGATGATTCACCGATATCTCCTTCTAGTAACAAGGCACTGAAATTTTACTCGTCGTAGGGAAATTTTGTTCTTTGATTTACTACCTTGTTCCCATTACTTGTCCTTTGGATAATTTTTTCCATGACAGGACATGTCCATCACCAACCCCTTAAGAAAACGTGTCATGAAGGGATGTCCTGCATTAGTATTATCTAAGAATGTGAATTATCTTTTGTTGGAGATGATTCTGTACCAGGGAAGGTAGAGTACTGAAGGGAATTTATAATATTTTGTGAGAAATAGATCTCAACTGTCTGGTCATCATGTTTTTCTCTCATAAACCAATTATGTCTCCAAAAATATAACAGCAGTGAAATATCCATGATAGTGCTGCCATTGTGGAAGACAAAGTAATTGACTGGATGGACATGATATTTTTGTACACACTATTAACAATTAGATCAGTTCATGTGTCATGGCAGCAGAAGAAATATGGCATTCACAACAAACAGTGCATTGTAGTGAAATCTAGATTTCAAAGAAAAAACAGAAACAAACAAGCAGAAAAACAAACTTGAAGTGAAACAACCTAAGTAAGCAACCCTGGAGTGATTGAGACAAGTGGGAGTGCATAAGTCAAGGACAAGGAAGACACATGAGAGAGCCATGAGAGAGGGAATGAGGCCTGAATGAACCTGGTTTTGTCAACAGCTTCAGCAAAGTGGATACTGCACCCAGGAAGGGAGATGGCAGCCGTTGAGAAACAGCATCAAGAAGGAGAGTCCATAACCCTCATTAATTACTAATAGGTTAAAGTGTGATATTTGTAAATGCCCTTATATAGATAGACACGTATTGTTATTTGAAGTTATGGTTTGTGTAGTATACTGTATTACTACTAAAGGGGGAAAGAAGCATTATTCAAGTGTATCCATCCAATGGGAAAAAAGAAGAATAGGCTGAGGCAGTGAACTATTCTATCATATATCAACACAAGTAAAGACTCAACAGTTACAGGCTTGGCCAACCAAAGACATGATTAATAATAAAGATATGAGAAGTGTCATTACAAGCTTATTTTTCTACTTCTGTTGCAGTGGTAAACACCACAGTCGGTTAAACACAAAGATTTTGTTACCATATCCCCATGAGAACAATCTTTAGGTAATATGGGAGAATTGATAGGTAACTAAGGGACATACCAGCATGAGGTATGCATTTTCTGGTGTATAAATTGAACTCTACATATATCAAAGGTCAGACTTAGCCTTGTTCAGATATGAAGAATTTATCCTCTTTCAACTGGGCAGCAATACAAGGCCGAGGAAATACAATCTTTAGGGATTAATGGCAAAAGTGTTTTATCAGTTATAATCTTCATTGAATATTCTCCAATTTTAATGTAATGTTTCTTCAGTTTTAGACTGCATTTGAAGATAATTTTGGCATGTTCAATTTTTGTTTGTGTTATATGTTCAAACTATTAAACTCAATGAAATAGTGATACTAAATATTACAGTGTATTATGTTTCATTCTATAGGTACGAGAAAGATAGTCATACATATGGGCCACTGATAGGCACAAGGCTAATTTCTTTGAAGTTTCAGTTTCTTCTTTTTATCACTAGACCTTCCTTTTGAATTCATATTGCATATTATCCAGTAGTGGTGTACATGCACTGACATACAAAATGATAAGACAAAATTAGTGTCTAAACTGTTTAAGTCACCAGGATTACTGAACTTTTTTTATTGGGAGTAGGAGCATATTCTTATTATTATTATTATTATTAATGATATTGGATAGTCTGCAGTATGAGAAGCAAAGTCTGAATTTGTTTCTGTGAATATGTATTCATTTATACAATCATAAATTACCCTGAAGAGTCTGTGAACAATGTATGTGTTTTCAATAGTTTTTTTTCTACTTTCCCATAGGCTGCTGACCACAAGTGCTGGGGAAGAGAAGAGCAAACATGAGGACCCAGAAGAGATGGAAATAGATGTAGCAACTGGTTAGTACACTAGGTTTTAATTTCTTGGATTATATATATATATAATTTTTTTTTTTTATTTATTATCAACTGATGGACTTACTGGACTATTATTTTCTTTTTCTTTCAGAGCTCATTATGTTAATGAATTTGCTATATGGAAAGAAATACTTATAATTAGGTAGATAATATATTTGAATGACATACATTTTTGTTTTGTTTCATACAAAGTGTTTTTAATCAATTATTCAGTCTCAGCAAAAGTCATACTGAATGTGTAAGTTTGAATATGAATGCAACCCATTAGATCAAGTGTGATCTTATGGGTAAAAATATTTTCAAATGTGTTCTTTTTTCTTCTTTCTAAGATGCCAAGCAAGCTTTAGACCTAATATGCTTAAGCTATTTAATCTTTGCTTATCTGTGCTAGGTGGTGTTGAAATTGGTTGTTCACAAGGGGATATGTTTGCTAGTCAAGAAGTTGCTTCTCAGAAAGTTGCCCAACCAAGAGGTAATTACATAGCCACTTATGGAAATTTTAGGTACTCTCGTATCTTAAGCACAGAGACACAGCATGATTAGTGTGATGTTGTTACTGGAAATAGTTTGATATATGTGGAGATATTTCAACAAATTCATAATTGAATTTGAGATACAAATAGAGTAACTGAAGTTGTTGGTATATATTTCTTGGTGAATTGTCTGTATTATGGTCATGTGATATATTTTTTTACTGTATGGATTTATATGATTGTTTTCCACAAATAGCAGAAGTGTCAGGGATGACACTAACTCCGGCCACATCAATGCCGATCCTCCAGCTGTCACAGGGAGAGGAAGAGGAGGAGGAGGATGTTCCTCCACCTCCAGGAAAGTAAGTATAGACTTTTTTTTTATTTTTTTATTTTATTTTTTTTATTTTATTATTTTTTTTTTTTTGTTGATAATGTTATTTTAGTTTTAGAGATTCAGAATCAGAACCTTATAGCTTTATCAGTTATTTATTTTAAGATTCAAAGGGAATTAGATAAAGAAATTGTAGATATTAACCACATATGTCAGGTGAGAGGGAGAAGTAAACAATATGACCATTGATTGATTTTTGTCACATTCTCTAGGTTCCTCTCAGGCACACCATCTGCATCTCTGGCCCTTGGATCATCACAGTCAGCTACATCTACGTCACCCACAAAAAGGAAACGGGCAGAACTGGAAGATACCTCATCAGAGACAGAACATTCAGAAATTCCTCTTAAGCAGAGACGAATGGAAGAGGCTAGCAGTGACTCTGGTGAAGACCGAGTAATTGTAGACTACACGACATTAACCAGGAAAGATGTGGAAATCAGTCCAAAGCAACAGAAGCCCCCACCAAGAGTTGTAAAACCAACCCATCTCTTGGCAGCTGCAAAACGAATTACCTTTAGTTCTGAAGATTTACAGACGTGTACAGAGAGGGAAGACCCCCTGAGGCAGCTACCCGTAGATACAGAAGAAGAAGAGAGTGAGCAAGAGAAAGATCTTCCAGTGAGACAGCCAGTTGATACAGAGGCAGAAAGCAGTGACTCTCAGAAAGTTAGTGATGATACTAAGAAAGGAGACACTGCATCAAAAGCGTTATCTGATAGTGAGTGTGAAGATAGTGATATTGAAATTCTGGAGGATAAGGATCGTAGTATAGAAGTTTTATATGAAAAATCTAAAGGGAAGAGCTCTCTTGAACAAGAGATAGGATCTCAAGACTTCAGCTTGATGTTATCTGGTGCTGAGCATGAGTCAGAGTACCCACAGGCAGGACAGAGATTTTCTGAGGGGCATATCCTAACTGAAGAGGCAGAAAGCCAGTCACAAAGTTTATTGTCAATGACAGAATCAGAACATCTTCAGTGTCATGACACCATGTCTTCAAGTAGCAGTGAGGGTAGTCAACATGCACCTGAAACACTAGTAGGTAGCATGCCAGCTACCCAGCTTGAGGGGATTTGTCAGCCTATGGTCCTTTCACAGCCAAACATTGATCCTCTCATATCATTACCAATTTCTTCTGCAAGAGAAAAGGAAAAAGACTCTGATAGTAGCGGGGAAATTTCTCCAAAGGAAAAAGACATTGAAGAGGAAGGAAGTAAAGAAAAGTCTGAGTCACAGAAGAAAGTCGATGAAGAAAGTGAAGTGGCTTCTTCCATGGATATTTCTCAAAAAGTGGAAACAGCAAGGCTTAAGATGCCTGAAATATTTACTCCAGCTTCCCAAGATTATGAGGTAACAGAGGAGAGTGAGTCAGTATTTACAAAAGCAACCAAAGTAGCTCAGGAAAGAGCAGAAAAAGAAAAAAAGAGGATGGAAGAAGAGAAGAAAAACCAAGAGACACTAGAAAAGATGACAAGTTCAGGTAGTCCCTCATTTGAAAGTCTAGGAACATCACCAATAGAAGAAGGACCCATTAAAGAGACTGAAAAATCCATAATCGAGTGCAGTATGACAGGAAGTTCCAATCAGTCTACCCCGGTTTCCAGTTTACAGCCTACACGTTCTTCACATTCCACCCCAGTTACCAGCCAACCACAGCGCAAACTCTCTCAGAGTGCCACTCTTTTTGGCTCGGCAAACAAAGAATCTACTCTTAGTTCTAGTCAGTTAAGTGGATCGCAGCAAGTTTTAGCAGAAGAAACTGATAGTGAAGATGAAGGACAGCTCAAGCGCAAAAGAAAAAAGCATCGTCCCACAGCAGAGTCGGAGCAGCCAGGGAAAACAGCATTGCGGGCATCTAACATCAAGGCAGAATCTAGAAAGACCTCCACTCCAAACACCAGCCAGGGAGTTAGCCTGAACATCTCAGGTGATGGAAGTAGTTACATTGATAAAGAGCAAGCTGGAATCCTGTCTGGTACTGAAACTTCAAAGTCACATAATACCTCATCAGAGCAGTCGGGAGTTGTCAAATCACCAGATCAGAGTGCATCACCAGGAAGGAGGGCAAGCACTCCAGACACAGAACTTCTTCCAGATGTGGAAAGAATTCACTCAATTGAAGAGCTACAAAGAGCAGGATTTAAAATCAATCGACAGCTAGACCCAGCAGAAGTTATAGAATACATTCATCCAGTTACAAGAGATACAATATATGTCACAATTGTACATGATGTTGGTGATCTAGAAGCTATAACTATTTCCAAATTACACTTTAAGCCTGCGTCAGAGTCTGGGAGTGGGAGTGGTGGAAGTCGAAGCAGCAGGATATCCGATGTGAGCAGCATATCCCGCACTACATATTCTTCTTCAGGTTATTATGGGGACAAAAGTTCTTCGTCATCAAATTCATCTCGTCGCACTTCCATGTTCTCGACAGCAGAGTCTTCAAGATTATCTGTTGGTAGTGTTGTTACTGTCTCATCACCTCCAAGAGAAATACAAATTATTGCAGAGCACAGTAAAAAGGATCTTGCTTCTCAAAAGGCTCAAGATGATGGACTTTTTCGTGTTCCAGCTGCACACCCTCGAGCCCAGGCTGGTGTGAAATTACCTGACACGTCACAAAAAGTAACTGAACCGATTCTCCAGATTCCTGTCCCTCAAAGGTTGGCTGCACAAAAGGCATTAGCTGCCACAAAAAAATCACCACCTTCATCATCATCATCAAGTACTGACAGTAAAATGCCTTCAGCAGATAAACCAAGGAGAGGTCGAGGTCGAGGAAGAGGAAGTAGAGACACTGGCAGAGGTGGTTCATCAGGTTCTTCCTCAGGGCCTCGAGGTCGGGGACGGGGCAGAGGCCGTGGAAGAGTCCCTGTTGCTAAGTCATCCACTGAGACAGAAGAAGAAGACCATGAATATGATGAAGAATCACCTGACTTTGTTGATGCATTGCCATCAGAAGGCAAGTCTTCAGGAAACAGCAAATCAGATGCAGACAGTGGTGCCTCATCAGCTAGTGTTACCAAAACAGCCAGGGGCCTGGGAGCCATCTCAGAGCTTCTGAGTTCCTTACCTGAAGATATATGGAAAGTGTTGGAAAATTCCCAGGTCCCACTTTCTGAAGAGGAAGAAGAGGCCTTTGTCCGTCTAGGAGGAACTGAAGCAGAGGAGAGACAACTAGCCCAGGTGCTGAAAAGAGTTCGAGAAGCAGAACTAGATAAGGGTTTGCTTGTGTTTGCTCGTTTCACAGACAATAATTTTTACTCTGCAGTTTTACATGAGAGGGATGGAGCTGACCGATGGCATGTGCAGTTCACTCTAGATCAGTATACTGCATCTGTACGAGATGTTTACCTGTTACCCACAGATCTGTTACCACGGGGTCATCACTGCTTTGTTCGACATCAGACAGAGCATTACAGCGATCCTGGTGTAGTAAAAGGGCACATTAGAGTTGGATCTACACTTCTTCATATTGTTGAGACTGACAGGGGAGTCACACAGAGAGTACCACACTCCCACCTTCTGCTTACAGGTCCTCAGGCACATGATCTTTTGCAGGCCAGATTAAACTTTCGTTCTATGGTTGCCTCACCTGGCAGAGATGTGTCTTTGGATAACATAGTTATGGGAAGAAGACGGCGCACAACCCAGGATCAGTTTTCATCACCACGCTCTAAAAAGGCTGATGAAAATTTGGACACTAGTGATGCCACTGCTGGTGAATCTGAGGACCTGAATATAAATATTGGTCGTTCTCCAAT